TGTTGCATACCAGGATAGAAGCAAGAGTGGGCATGAAAGTTGCTTTGGAAATGATAACAAATCATGGGCGCTTGGATGTTTCGACCTTACCTATTATTTCAAGCACTATAAGAAGAAACTTTTGCTCCCAGGCCCCAAGTCTTCTAAAATCGCAGTATTCTTGGGATCACAAGGCAGGTGTTCTGTCATTCTACAGCATCTCTGATACCATGACCCTTCTTCACAAAGTCCAGACCACCTTCACTCAGACGCTGCATGCAAGAGTCTGGATTTATTGGGCTGGAGACACTGCAGCGGTGTGTGAGGTGAAGTAGTGGAGTTTGTCATACAACCAAAGGAAAATTAAATCTAATTAACAAGATTAAGTAAATGATATCCTAATTGAACTGGTCTTCTCTGTTCACAGTCACAAACAGAATGTGATTAAAAAAATACAATTTCATGCTAAACCTACCTGTGTACCTTTGTTTCACTTTGAAGTAATTTTATTAAGATTTTCAATTTAATACACAATCAATCACTACATTTTATAAGGTCTTTTAATTTTAATATACTTTACGTTGGAACTATTTGACATCTGATTAAGGTGAATCTGTCGAAAAAAATTCTTCTGTAATGATTTGTAATTTTACCCAAATATTATAAACATTTATATGTTTTCTTCTGTGTTTCTAAGATCCTTTTCTGCAGAAACCAGCAAAAATTTGAAGATGCAACATTTTCTTTAGTTCAAACTGCAAATTGCTTTGAGTAAAGTTTATCAGCACAAATAATATGACTTTTTATCAAATGTTTTGATTTTAACATATCAAAACTATTTTAAATTTATTTAGTAATCCATAATGTATTTTGTTCCATTTAATTAGAAATTATTGTCATGACTCGGATTTTAGAGACAAGTCCCAATACTTTTCTTTAATCTAGAAAATGAAGTTTAAAGGTTATATATCATGAATTTACTGACCTGTATCATCAGCTGAAACCAGACTCAAAGTTATCAACAGCAGCACTGCAGGACCAGTAAAGAAAGCCATTTTAAACACTAAAAAAAGGAAGAAGAAATTAAGACAAGTGTTACAGCAAAGGTTAGTAATGTCAGACTCAGCTGTCACATTTACTGTAATGCATCACCTCTGCTGGCTGCTTTAGTGGAAATGGGTCTGTCGATGTGTGGGTGGGAAATGTTCGTCCCTTTGCTCAGCCACACAGCAGCACCTCCTTTTTTCTCCGACCACCGAAAGGTTACAGTTACTCTTTCCTCTGATCTGCTGTTTCTGTTTGCTGTCTTAAAAGTCACCTTTGCTGAACTCATTCAGTTTGGAGTTTTTATTTAATTTTTATTAAAACACCTTGTTTTATACAGACTGTAAAGGTCAAATACAAAATGATAATACTCTTCTTTCACTTCCTCATCGGGTTTTTAATGTCAGATTTTAAGACTAAAGATAAAATGCAAAGATAAATACATAAAACAAAATAAAAAATCTGTTTGGTTAGATTTGTGGGAGATTAAACTGTTATGTGTTTTTACAAATTGTTCTTTGTTTTGGGTCACTCATGGCCACTAGCAGAACAAATCAGAGCCGGTGTTCCGACTTTCTGTGCGGGGCAAATGACCTTGCAAATGACAAGCCTTGCGCTCCGAGAACTCGTCCGAGATGCTCTGTATTTTCTTTGATCTTATTCTTTATGGACAACATGAGTCCTCTCAGTCTCTCCTGTCCCACTGTGTTCCGCAAGTGCAGCATGTCAAGTTGTATACGTATTGTCTGCAATTTTTTTTTCTCATTTTGCAGGTAGGCCTATACTGATGTTAACAGAACAAGCTCTCAGATTTTTTTAAGTTTTACAGATTAAAAAAATTTCAAACTTATTTAAGATTTCAGAGCCTGTAGGACCTTTAAAAAACAATAAATACCATCAAATAACCATCCTCCAACCTGCTCTGCCACTATAAATAAGTTCTCCCCTCCTAATTTCTTCCTCCTTAAATCTCTGTGGCCGACAGTCCGCCTGTACACCCCCCAGTCCCCCCAACATGCACGTGTGTTAATAGGGATTATTTTATTTATTTATTTATTGCTAAAATTATGGATTGATGAGGCTCATTATACAGGTAAACAACCGAAGGGGTTGACATGTACACTCTAAGAAATGTTGGATTTATTAACCATGTTATGTCAAAACTGGTTCCACTTAACTGAGTGGGGTAAATCAAAAGCAATAAACCCAATTTTTAAGCAAAGAACATGAGTATGTTGCTTTGAATTTACTAAACTCAGTTAAGTGGAACCATTTGACATAACATGGTTAAATAAATCCAACATCTGTTTTTTAGAGTGTATGCGCGTGGTGAGTTTTAAAGGCACAGTGTGTAGGATTTGTTGTTTTCAGAGACATCTAGTGGTTGAGTGATTGAATCTCCTGGTCCTCCCCCCACCCCCACCCCCTGCTTCCAAACACAAAGGAGTTGCTACGGTGTCTCTCAGGTGTCAAAA